TTAACGAGCAGTTTCGGGGAATGACAGGAGCGGGCGGCGGTGCGTTGATCAAAATGTGTTGTTGAATTCTGGATCGTGTTTTTTTTTTTAAGCATTATAGATGAAGTTCACTAAGAGGAATGGGAGGTTTTCTCTGCTAGGAGAGAGATTTTTTTTTTTTAGGGGGGTCTGTTTTTTTATTCATAATGCAAAATGCGCTATACTCTTAAGCTGGGTTTTTAACACCCTCTGAGATTGCGGACGTTTAGGGGAGTGACAGAGATAATAATAAAATAATATTCATGTAAAGTGACAGTGACGGTATAAACACACACACACACACACACACACACACACACGCACGCACACGCACAACACACACACACACACACACACGCACGCACACGCACGCACACGCACAAACACACACACACACACACAAACAAGACTGACCAAGGGGCGACAGAACTTAGTGACGAGATCCTCGTGGGTCTCACTATTTCCGCATCACGTTATGGCGATGCTCTCCCTGTCGTTTCGGGAGAGTTTTCGATCGCAAAAAAAAATAATAATAAATAAATAAATAAATACATTTGATCTTGTTAGAAACTCTTTGTATTACGGTAAAAATTTTCCTCCCCCCCCTTGTTTTATGAATTTTCTCAGCGCAGTAAAATTAAGGAGCTTTATCGGAATTTTTACAATTTTTAAAGGTATTGCTCAATTTTCATACTAGGGTTAACATGGGTAGTTCTTATGGCAGTTTTCCTTTTCTTGCGTAATTTTTTTTTCTCCTCTCTCCTTTTTATCACCTTTACACGTCTGTTTTTTGTTTGTTGGTTTGTTTTACATTTTGCTCGTTCTTCAATAAAGAATAAAAAAAAATAAATAAATAAAAAGAGGTAGAGACTTCAGCCAAAAAGTTCTCAAGCCTAAACATCAGCTTCTTTTGACTTTCCTTGTGCTTTCGAGGTTCCTCTGAAGGCTTCCCACGCTTGTCTTCGCAGCTTTAGTAACAGTCTGGTCGTTCTTCACGTTTCTTGTCATCGTCATCATCATCATCGTCATCATCTTCAGTATTGTTGTTAGTGATGTGCATCCATTTTTTTTTTTCTTTTTTTTTTCTTTTTTTCTTTTTTTAAGGGGATCATCAGATAACCACTCGAAGGAGAGAGAGATAGACAGATAGAGATAGAGAGGGAGGGAGAGAGAGAGAAAGAGAGAGAGACAAGAGCCTCGACTCCTTCAAGGCGCTTCACACCTCCCCCCCCCCTCAGTTTCAGCTTAGATTTGAACTTTCTGAAGCTGATTTGCACTTCCGCAGCGGGTGGCGAGGAGCGGACCGGGACGAGAGGGTAAAATACATAACATCCAAGAAAGGGATCTCTCCTCAGTCCTCTCTCAGAGTCCTCTTTCACTCGCAGTAGGACGGAGAGGTGCTAAGCCAGCTCATCCTCCTCCTGTCTTTGATCCTGGCGAGGGACGCGATATCTGGCTTGTCCCTTCGGTTCATTATTATTATTATTATTATTATTATTATTATTATTATTATTATTATTATTATTATTATTATTATTATTATTATTATTATTATTATTATTATTATTATTATTATTATTATTATTATTATTATTATTATTATTATTATTATTATTATTATTATTATTATTATTATTATTATTATTATTATTATTATTATTATTATTATTATTATTATTATTATTATTATTATTATTATTATTATTATTATTATTATTATTATTATTATTATTATTATTATTATTATTATTATTATTATTATTATTATTATTATTATTATTATTATTATTATTATTATTATTATTATTATTATTATTATTATTATTATTATTATTATTATTATTATTATTATTATTATTATTATTATTATTATTATTATTATTATTATTATTATTATTATTATTATTATTATTATTATTATTATTATTATTATTATTATTATTATTATTATTATTATTATTATTATTATTATTATTATTATTATTATTATTATTATTATTATTATTATTATTATTATTATTATTATTATTATTATTATTATTATTATTATTATTATTATTATTATTATTATTATTATTATTATTATTATTATTATTATTATTATTATTATTATTATTATTATTATTATTATTATTATTATTATTATTATTATTATTATTATTATTATTATTATTATTATTATTATTATTATTATTATTATTATTATTATTATTATTATTATTATTATTATTATTATTATTATTATTATTATTATTATTATTATTATTATTATTATTATTATTATTATTATTATTATTATTATTATTATTATTATTATTATTATTATTATTATTATTATTATTATTATTATTATTATTATTATTATTATTATTATTATTATTATTATTATTATTATTATTATTATTATTATTATTATTATTATTATTATTATTATTATTATTATTATTATTATTATTATTATTATTATTATTATTATTATTATTATTATTATTATTATTATTATTATTATTATTATTATTATTATTATTATTATTATTATTATTATTATTATTATTATTATTATTATTATTATTATTATTATTATTATTATTATTATTATTATTATTATTATTATTATTATTATTATTATTATTATTATTATTATTATTATTATTATTATTATTATTATTATTATTATTATTATTATTATTATTATTATTATTATTATTATTATTATTATTATTATTATTATTATTATTATTATTATTATTATTATTATTATTATTATTATTATTATTATTATTATTATTATTATTATTATTATTATTATTATTATTATTATTATTATTATTATTATTATTATTATTATTATTATTATTATTATTATTATTATTATTATTATTATTATTATTATTATTATTATTATTATTATTATTATTATTATTATTATTATTATTATTATTATTATTATTATTATTATTATTATTATTATTATTATTATTATTATTATTATTATTATTATTATTATTATTATTATTATTATTATTATTATTATTATTATTATTATTATTATTATTATTATTATTATTATTATTATTATTATTATTATTATTATTATTATTATTATTATTATTATTATTATTATTATTATTATTATTATTATTATTATTATTATTATTATTATTATTATTATTATTATTATTATTATTATTATTATTATTATTATTATTATTATTATTATTATTATTATTATTATTATTATTATTATTATTATTATTATTATTATTATTATTATTATTATTATTATTATTATTATTATTATTATTATTATTATTATTATTATTATTATTATTATTATTATTATTATTATTATTATTATTATTATTATTATTATTATTATTGTCCTCTTTCACTCGCAGTAGGACGGAGAGGTGCTAAGCCAGCTCATCCTCCTCCTGTCTTTGATCCTGGCGAGGGACGCGATATCTGGCTTGTCTTCGGTCGCCTTACCTTGTCTCCTTTCGTGTTTTTTTTTTCTTTTTTTTTCTTTTCTTTTGTCCCTTTGTCCTTTTTTCGTAAAGAAGGGGAAGAGGGGAAGGGGTGTTGTGCTGGCTGGTTCATCTCGCGTTAGTTTCACCACGTTCACGGAATGGTTAGGATAATATCCCCTCATCATAGGCATTACATTCATTCATTCGTTTTCATTAATAATTAGTTGTTTTTTCCTCTTTCCTGGATTTTTATCGTTATGCCACGTCAGCTCTTCAAAGGTTTGCATAAAATCTGCATACAGGACTACATTGCTTTCATAATGCAACTGCAAATGTACGCAAAAAAACATATTCATCACTAGTTCAGACCCCGCACAAACTAATATGCTATTCAAATTATAATCAAATGAAAATCTGGTTTATATATAAAAAAAAAAAAAACCATATTCATCACTAGTTCAGACCCCGCACAAACTAATATGCTATTCAAATTCCCCCCCCCCCCCCCCCCCCCCCCCCCCCCCCCCCCCCCCCCCCCCCCCCCCCCCCCCCCCCCCCCCCCCCCCCCTCAGTTTCAGCTTAGATTTGGAACTTTCTGAAGCTGATTTGCACTTCCGCAGCGGGTGGCGAGGAGCGGACAGACCGAGAGGCTAAAATACATAACATCCAAGAAAGGGAT